TCTACAGCTGCCACACAAACAGTAAATAAAATTCATTGTGTTTTCACCCCACTAAGCAGCTCTGTCTTCTAGCACATCCAGACGCCTGGCTTGAAAAAAGTGAACAATGTTTTCTCGGGCAGACATCCCCAAAAAGGGCATAACAAAGGCATCTGCATCTGAAGATGCTACCGAGGAAAGACACCATGCAGACAGCTGTGTGTATTCTGTGCGAGTAATTCCTTGACCAGCCACATGGGTTCATTGGATTACAAATATTCAGAAAATTAGTTTGCCATGCCATGCCAATTTTGACAGGAGAATTTTCATTTATATTTATGATAAACGGAGCTTTAAATTGGAGGACGTTTTAAAATTTATGAATTTGAAAATCCGTGTACACGGCCAATTAAGGTTTATTGCACCACGGATTCACTATCCTTGGGTAACATTTTCAGAGGTTATTTGTATCTAGGTTGTTCACCTCAAAGTATTACATTAAAATTGGTATAAAATATTTAAAGGGAAGCATATTTCAAGATGAAAGTTACGGTTAACCACGATGAAATGGAAACACTGCAGGAATGTCGTAAGCAACAAAACCGTTCCCTCTGCTACACCTGGATTTTTGCTGAAAGCGAATTCAACATGAAAATAATTTCCAAAACAAACATGGCCAAGCGGATGGGAAGCAAAGGGTGAACGGCACAGCTCAGTGGAGCACCCAGTTGTACAACCTTGCAAGTCAGGCCAAACTCCACAAGGAAAATGCAGGCCCTGAATTTTAAAGAGAATTCAATTAGCATCCCCAGTATTTCCATAATCAACAGCTGAATGCTAATTAAGAGCACAGCATCCAGCAGCAGTGGAATCCCAGTGCAATACGCAACAAAACAACAGCAGCCAGCTACCCTCGGCCTGCATGTATAAGGAAACAGAATTAATAACCAACGGAGCATGGAGGGAGGCCTAATCCATTTCCATCAGGTGCAGTTCAGCCTGGGGCCTTTGTGTTATATTTAAATGTGTTCATCATGTTTAATTAAAAACCTAATGATCTCGGGTTTTGGGTTTTCTAAAAAGTTCTGATCTGTATTTCCCCTCTCTTTCTCTTTGTAAGTTCCACTGATGTGGATGGCTTCCAGAAAAGGAACAGTATTTTTAGCATAATGGTAAGTAAAACTAGTTAAGCATCAATCTAACCCTCCAAGGCAGCAGCCAGCCATTCACTTGGGCACCATCCTGGTTCACACCATGGCACTGAATAAGCTTCCTGAACTGACCTAGCATTTCTTCGAAAATGCTTCTGTGATTGGACCAGTTTAGGTAGCCTGAAAGACTGCTATGAGCTAGCTACCAAGGTGTTTCTCAGTCACTCTGCTACAGCAGAGTTCATTCGTCACTAATTGGCCTAGGACTTGACAGAAAGTGGAACAAATCTGGCTCAGCTCAACAAGACTTACAGTATCTTGGCCCGAAAGCAACTTGAAAAAGAAGTACCATATCTACACACACACACACACACACACACACACACACACACACACACACACACAGTCACAAGAATTAGTGAAAGTGTGAAATGAAAGGCCTCCCACTGTGTACTTCTGAGGCGTTAAGATCTCAAGAATTAGTGATTATCTGAAAGATCTAAGAAGAGGTTGGTGATATTAATAATAATAGCTTGGAAACTTTTTCCAAAAGTGAAACTTTTAAGGTCAGCTTTGGACACACGTAAAAATTTTTCTTTTTGAACTGATGAATAATTATTAACTAGTACAAGTTTTAAAATGCTGCATTGAGAGCACTCATAATTATAGTGAAGAATCTTGAAAAACAATACTCTTGAATAAAGAGTTGTCAATATTCCTGAAGATTCCCACCATTCGTACGTTCTCACTCTTAATAACTTTACAAACCTGGAGGGCAATCAACTCAGAAATAAAGATGGTGAGGAACAGAGAGCTGGTGGTGACAACACAAAGTGAGCACAAGGGGCAAAGGATTACGTGCTGATAAATGATGTGAGGAGGAGATGCACTCTGGAGAGCAGCAGTCACTGTGGGGTGGGCGAGTGCGCACCAAGCCTGGAGGATGGCTGGGGCTTGGAAGGGCAAGACAGAGAAAGGCCATTCTGGGAACAGCGGACCCGCGCGGACCAGCAGGTACACGGGCTGTGTGTTCCCAGCCCAGCCAGGGATTTGGGCTGCCAGGTGCTCGTTCGACCAGCCCTCTCACAGGGTGTTTAATTCACACAGATGCAAAGGAAAACGGCTACGCTGCTGTAGTTAGATCCAGCTGATAGACTGGAGACAATGAAGTGTAAAGATAACTAGAACGTCCAAGTACAGAGAAAACTGAGAGGGAAAAAGGGGAGGAAGGCCCGTGTACTTATTTCAGTGGGGACACAGTTGTGACTCCTGGGTGAGACCGTTTGGTCAAGTCACCAGGAGGAGGCTACACAGACACAGCAGGTACCCTCTCACAGCCAAACCCATGTAGGGTCAAGAGCTACAATAGGTTGGTTTATGTGCCTTGTTTCTACATAAAACTATTCTAGGATTTGATTTGGATTTCTTCATCAGGAGATGCCTTCGGCCTGTCAATTCTCCAGTCACCCACTCATATTCATTTTTGAAGATTTAGAAAGTGAAGCTGAACTTCCTATAAATAAGGGCACTGCATGACCCTCGGGTCCTGCGGAACTGGATGGCGGCCCAAACACGTTCTCAAAGCTTCCATGCAGCAGCTAAGGCCCAGTGTCCTGTCCTCGGCGTGCGCAGCAGCACTTGCAAGTCCTGTTGCATTCTGCAAAACAAAGCCGGCCTTCCCCACGTATATGACCACCCTCCATATCCCACGGTCTGCTAAAAGTCCCCGAGCAGCAGCGGTGGGGACACAGTCCCCATCGTGCCCGGTGTAAGCAGTGCTGTAGCAGAAGAAGCCAACTTTCTTTTACACAGGAAGCGCTTGGAATTCAAAAATTCCAGAGAGAAGGGAAGGTCAAGGCTGAAATGAAGGGGGAGCGAAGAGGGTCATGGCTGCCGAGGAGCTGGGGAGGCAGGAGGGACATGGGAGGGGTGGCGTGGGAGGAGCATAAAGGCAGGCGGAGCAGAGAGGAGAGACAGGAAACGGGGAAGAACAGACGGGAACTGAAGGAGTGAGGAGAGCCCGCCCGGTGTGGATGTGCTGACAAGGACCCAAAGCCTGGCCACATTTCACACATTTGTTCCACCTTGTCATCTCCTTATGACTTTCTTCTACAAAGGCTTTTTGTAGAATTTAACACTTTTATCAACCAAATCTCTCATCTCCTTCTCACATAAACAGGACTACAGCGAAACACGTCAGTGTGACTTTTCAAAACAAGTGAGTTTAACATTTTTACTTTGGCCACTGTCTGAACAATGACAAATGTTTTAGGTTTCCATCTCTTTACTAATCATGTAAAGTTTTTAAATTTTAATTTCAGAACAGCAACACCAACTTCATCAGAAGTCTGAGAAACTTTGAGTCCTAAAGGGCTACTGAAAAGGCGCCCCGTGCCGCACCTTTGAGGGCCACGTCGGTCCTCCCTGCTGTGTCCTCGGTTCCTCTTCCTCTCCACTCCCACCCACCCTCATCCAGAGCCATCCATGAATGAATTCTCTCGCTCAGCCTTCAATACACATCCCCTTCTCATGGCCACTGCAGCCAAGCTCTGCAGCCACTGTGCCTGGACTCTCATGACAGCCCCGGAAGCCCACTCCGCACTCAGCAGGGCGCCCACTGGCAGGAGTCGCCGCTCTCTGCTCAGAATCTGCAGCATGAACAGCAAGGTGCTGCCCACAGGTCCACAGGCTGCATCTGATCTGCCCTGCAGTACCCCCACCCCACCCCCACCTCCAGACAGTACAATACGGTCCTATTCCTCAACCATGCTGGACATGCTTTCTTTCACATTAGGACTCAAAATTCTCTGCCCCCTGATATCCAAAAGGCTCGTCTCCTTATGTCACTGAGGTCTTGGCTCAAATGGCACTTACCAGGCCCTTCCTAAGCCCCCTTACAAAAGACAGACAGCACCCCTACCCAGTTTATTCCCGCCCTCCTTTACCTTCCTCAGCACACGCACCACCACTTGACACATACTAATGTACAGTGGTCTCCCTCTTAAAACACAAGCCTCATGAGGAGGGACCCTGTGTTCCTCTTGCTATGGCTTCTGGCACATAATCACTTAATAGATATTACTGGAAAAAAACAAAAGAGCAGGATCACACTACCATATACAATTTCTAAACGCTCTTTCTTGGCATATTTTGGAATACAGGTGAAGAACTTACAATTACTATGTGTTTCAGTGCCAGCCTTCAACTTAACTTCACTCAACTTGAAGGGCGATACCTTTCAAAGGTTACAAGATGGGGGTGTAGCTTCAGGAGCACTCTACTGAGACAGGAATCCACGGGTTTGCAAATCTGTATTTGTGGGCACATTTCTATCTCCCCGCCTTCTTTAATGGGCCATAAAAACAGAAGGTAGGAAAGATCTACTGTATTTATTTAATCGAGTCTATGCTTCCTGCTTTAGACTAACGTCTTTCAGCAGGTTAGGGATCCTGCCATCCCTCCTCAAGATAAAAAGAATCACCAGCCCTACACTAGGTTATGGATCAACTGGTTTGAACAAGCTTGTGTCTTAAAATAGGGAGGTATTGAACACTAGCTTGCACCCAAAACAAAACAACCAACCCAAACTAGCTTTTTAAAAGAGCAACTTTCAATTGCTTCTCTCTTTCCATAAAACCTGGGGAAATCTTTCCCATTATCTATGGAACCCAAGTTTACTAAAACCAAGCCTTTCTGTACAATCATGAGGCTTAGAGGCCCTTTCCCTCGCCTGAGGAGGTCATGGCCAGTCTGTACACATGACTGGGTCTTTGGAATGGGCGCCTTTCCCCCCAAGCAGCAGGAGGTCGCCCACTGCGAAGCCAGCGACCGATGACCCAGGCCCCAAGGCACACTCCCGTCCGTGCTCACCACTTCATCCTCGGTCCAGCACTTTTCAATCAACTTGGGCACGGGCTTCTTTACCAGGCGCTGCAGGGCTTTGCCGGCGTCATAACTGCTTTCATGTAGCTAAAACAACAACAACTTTAGTTAGTTAATTGCACCAAATTACAGAGCTGGAAGCAAATCAATAAAAGGGAAGCCCCACATTTACTCTCTCTAAGAAGACTTGTTCAGTGGGCGTACAGACTCAACCATTTTAGTCAGCATGATTAATTTGCTCTTATCCAACCCTCTCCCGGTTCCAGCTGTTCTGGGAGAGGGAGACAGGTAAGGCAGAAAACATTTGGACAGTAATAGAAATAGAATTAAGAACAACAATAACAAACATTTTTTCACCATCTGGCCTGGCACAGTGTTAAGCACACTCCATGCACTTATTATCTTTCTTAATCCAGTGACGAAGGTATTCTCTCATTTGATCTTATGGGGCAGGAGCTATTATCACCCCCTTTTACAGATGAGGAAACTAAGGCATAGAAAGGTCCAGTACAGGTGCTCACCAACAAGGCAGCAGACAGGCGACAGAGCCAGGGCTTAAACCCAGCATGACCCCTATTTGTCCCGATCTCTCCAAAGCAGCCTAACAACATACTAGATTATGTTCTTTCCCTTAAGCAGTTCCTAAGTCTTTCAACTGTAGTAATTTCACTAAAAAAATTTCAAGTACCTAAAATATAAGAGCTTTATAAAGAAACTAATCATTCTGTAACAGATTAACTTTTCAGTCCATACGAATGAAGAAACTAGTTTATCTATACATTCCTTTTAGGACCAGATGCTCTCGTGAAAGCTGATGAACTTTTTTCTCTCCATATCCTTTTGCCCCGGGCAATGCCTAGCACCATGACCCTTCTGTATCTTGCAAAGACGCTCCTGCTGTGCTCCTGTGAGCCCACCCAACCCCAGTTCCTGAGTCTCAACTTACAGACACTGGCGAGAAACAGCAGGTAGAAAGATCTGCTTGCTCAGTCTAACCTCCCCAAACTGTGGCTGTCCCTCCAGACTTCTCTCTAGAAACCTCCCTTTCCTCGACAGATCCACTTCTCTGACACAACGACCTGTTTTGGATAAGACTTATATCCCCGGTGCCTAACATGGTCGGTAGCATAAAGTGATACAACAGAAGAAATACCTGTTAAATTCATAAATAAATGCCTTCAACTAGCGTCCCTAGGTAGACTCAACCCAAATCTAAGTCGCTGTTTATTTGAATTCGTTCAGCCTCATGTTGGCTGAGTGCGTATTAGGTTCCAAGCACCATACTAGGCCTTGGGGGTACAGCAGTGAACAAAATGAGCAGAGGCATCTCCTCTGCCCCAGAGTGGACAGTCTGATCTTTTCACCTGTGCTCCACCCCTCATTTGAACAATTCACCAGCATTTGCAAATGAAGCACACACCTTAGTAAGTCACAGCTTTTATTTCTAGGAAGTTCACAAACTAGTGGGGAGGTGTTGTGGTGACATGACATGTGAAAAATGACAAGACTGAGCAGGCTGTAGTAGTGACTGTCACTAAGGTGCAGCAGACAAAGAGCTGCAGCCACATAAGAGGAGAGAGCCCTGTGCTTCCGCTCTAACAGTAGAGCCGTAACAAGGACAGACAGACTGCCTCCCCAGCAATAGCAGGAGCACCAGGGCTGGGCATAGAGTGAGCCTGTGATGAATGCTGAATGAAATAAATATTTGAAACATACACAGCAAGTCTCTCTTCTAACTACTCAACTGCTATTAGAAGGGATATCTCAAATATCTGTTTTCATTGCTTATTCATCAAAACAGAATGTATTACAAATTAAAATTTCCTGTGCATTCTCACAGTTTAGAGGACCCCAGTTTATTTTAAATCCAGACAAATTCAAAGCTGTACGTTAATTATAGTAATAAGTCAACCACCTTAAAACAAAACAAAACACCTACAACCACCAATGTTGGATCCTGTTTTGGGGGTGGTACTATGTATGGGGGTGTGGGTATAATGATATGAATGCTAGATATTAATTTATGACATTTAGTATTAGACTACTTAAAAAACGAAATAGTACATACACTATACTATAAACACTATACTAAATAAATATGCTAAACAAACTAAATACTAAAGTGTTATCATTTGCAAATGCTAGAAAACTGCATAGTCTGGCCTTCTTTCAGAAGTATAAAAAGACAGGGCCGGCCAAGTGGCGCTTTGGTTAGGAGTTGGCTTGGGACGCAGCTCTGAGCAGCAGGGCCTGGGGTTCGGATCCCACATGAGGGCCAGTGACACTGCCCTCTCTACAGCTAAGATAGTGAACAACAGCTCGACCTGGAGCTGGGCTGCCGTGAGTCACCGGCGACAGCGTAGGCTGCAGTGGGGCTGGCTGGCAGCTGGCATGAGCTTTCATGAGCCACCGTGAGCGGCTGTCCAATGGCCGGTGAGCGACTGCCTCACCTGGGAAGAGTGTAATGATAATACAAACATGGGCCCGTGAAGCGACGTCCTCCACAACTAGACTGAAGAACAAAAGGACAGTAATTTATCTGTTCCCCATTCCCCGAGTCCCCAATGCTGTTAACCCTCCTCCCCCAATTCCACAATTAAAAAAAAAAAAAGGTATAAAAAGACAAAAATAAAGTTAGATTTTCATACTTTGCCTAATATCTGGAACAGGAAGATATTTTCCAAATTCTATAATATAATGAGGACCTATAATGAGAGCTTAACAACATGGATTGGAACTGAATAAAAAAAAATTTCATACCTATTTAATTTTGTAAAAAGCACACATTTTAATGATAATCTGAAATTAATTCAAGTTGATTAAATTATAAATTCTTAATAAAATGCTCATGGCAAACTTACAACATTTTACCAGAGGTAATTATAGTATATGGGGTAATAACAAGGAGAGATGCAAAACAATGGGCCTTGGAGCCAGTCTATGGATTCAAATTCTAGTTCTAGTGCTTACTAGGTGGTGATCTTGGCAAGTTACTTATTCTCTTTGGGCCTCAATTTTGTCATCCTTAAAAATGAATATAATGGTTTTCTGGTGAAGATGGCAGAGTAGGTAAATGCTGTGCTTGCCTCCTCCCATGACCACATCAGAATTACAACTAAATTGTCGGTCAACCTGGAGAACCATATGAGATCTGGCTGAACAGAAGTCCTATAACTAAGGATATAAGGAAGAAGCCAAGTCAAGACTGAAAATAACATTGAATGCCAACTGTAATTGAAAAAAATAAATTTTTTTAAATGGTGAGAAAAGACACAGAAAAATAAAAATGAGTATAATAACAACATCTAGTTCTTAGGGCTATTGTGAGGATAACATTCGAAAATATATGTAATTTGCTTAGAACTGTACCTGGCACATTAGCATGCTAAATGTGTCAGCTATTTATTTTTAAAACGAAAGAGAAAAAAACAAAGAAAGCAGCCTCTACTCAATTTTCATCAATTTTCTAGATTTAGAGGGTAGCCTTTCCAGGCATAGAAATAAACTGTTAAACTATCAACAAAACCACTTATGTTTCACATAATTACCTACGTTAATAATTTATGAAATTTGATTAAAACTCTGGTTCAGTACACAAAAAACATTTAAATCTTATGTGGCTGATAGGAAATTGCTCATAAAAACATGAAGCCCATTCAAAATATGAATGAGTGATTGAAGTTAAATCACATCATTTATTCATCCCTATGACATTCCTGCCTTGTGGTGAACCAAGGCGAGCTTGAAATGATAGCTGGAAGAAATGTTCTGAGTAACCTGATGAACTTGCTGTTGTGGTTGTTGGTTTATTAGAGAGGCTGGAGTACAGCTTGCATGATGCCCCTCAGCTAAATGTCTAGTGAAGCGCTTAATAAACAAAGGCATTTTCCCCGAAACAAACCCCAGCACTCACGCTTCCTTTACAGAAGTTGATGTCAGATCACACTTTCCCATGATGAAGCTCATGCAATTTATGGGGTAACCTGAGCTTCCTTCCCCAACTGTTTCTAAATAAAGGGTAACTCCCCCTTTTCATCTGACCCACTACCTGACCCATTAAAATATTCCTATTCCTGATCTTTCCATAATATAAACTCAATAAATATTTCGAATGTCTACTTCTCCCACCCCAACACAAAGACACATTTGAAAGGCAAAAGATGTGGGGTTATTTACCAACAGTAATGCAAGATTTATTGAACACACAAAGTTAGGATGTTACTGTGCTGTCATCAATCATTCATACAGACTAGTACAAAAGGTGGGTCAAGGGCTGCTGGCACGCCCTCTTCCTGGGGAACCAAAGGAACCTTTCTAATTCATCACCTTCCACTCTCCAGGAAGCTTGTATTAATAAAGATGTATTAAAAAAATACATCTTTAAAGAAATATTTCAATTATATTTTATTAAAGATTTACTTATACTGAAAGTGTTATGGCCCACACAGCTTCACAAGAATGAAGATTACCTTTTGAGCACTTTGGAGAAATTATTGGAGCTCAGGATATCCTTCATTCTGTCCGAAAATATTTATTGAGTGCTAACCTGTGCCAGATACCTTTCTAGGTGCGAGGGATAGCTACAGCTGTCAATAACAGGTAATGGACATGAGAGATGTACGACGGAGGACGGTGGAACCTGTAAGAATCAGTTTACAGCACTGGTCTGGTATGACACACCTAGCCACAGGTCACATCCAAGGTTCTGCCTTCTCTGATGATATATCACGTGCAAGTAAGCCCTTCCTGAAAGGGGTTTGTTTTTGAGATGATTATATAGATTTTCTTCCTTCAGACTGGGGCCCCAATAATGTCTAAGGAAGAGTTAAATTGGATATTTGTACTGTATTCCTCATGTCAATTAGAGTTGGTTAGTTTACCAAAATACTGGCTGTCTTAAATCTCTAAAAATTGTCATTAAAAACATTTCTCTCTAATATAGCATTTATCTCTGAAGAATTAGAATAATTTCATCTTGTGAAAAACATTACGTGGGTTTCAAACGTTAAATAACTGATCGTGACCACACAGGTACATCTATGTAGTCAGGAAATTCAGTTCAGGCTTCTCAACGTTGCTAAGGTTAA